GTCTTTTTTTCTTTTTCCGGTAGTGGACATCTTGAAGGACATGCTTAAAGGACATGCTTAAAGTGGAAGGGGTGCAGCTGCCTTTGAGAGGTACCACGAGCTTCGGCCCTAGAATCCTGTAGCTTGAGGCCATGCCATGTTTGGTGGGAATCGGCGGGAAAATGCGAGTGGTGGGCGTGGGAGTCATGTTGGGCCCCTTGGGCCCCACCAACCGAAAGCTCAGCCACGGTTGAGACTGCTGGCTGGCAGCTGTCACAGGAATGATCTAGAGGTTCTAAGTGAGGGCTGCGTGGGCATTTGGCTAAGTCTGTCAATCATGGCAAGGTTTGGCTGCTTAGTTAAATCATGGTGAATCAGCTCAGGGTGATGTTTTGTTGTTTGCCTTGAAGCGTACACATAGCCTTAGCCTTTGCCTGCGGCAGACACTGCACGGTGTAGTGTCATCAGTGGTACGTGGTGGAGGGTGCTACCTTTCCATGACTTTTTGGGCCGAACGATTTGATTTGATGGAAGCCGGAAGCACAAACAACGGACCATTGCTAACAGCCAATACGACACCGCAAGGTGCAGAGCAGGCAACACCTTACCAACCCTGGCATACGGCAAGGAACAATAGATGCTGTTCGAAACCACCAGTTGCCTCGCCATTTTGACCATGCCTGAAATCCGAGGATTGTCCGGCAGTCTGACGCGCATTTGTTCGAGAAGTTCGGCTACTCAGATTGCTGCGCTCCAAGCTCCCGCGAGATCTGGTGACACACGCGAAGCATGGGGTCGTTCAAGCTGTGGCTTGCCTGATGACGCGCCGGAAGTGGCACATGAGGGACAACAAGAGTGAGCCTTCCGCGGACGCCCAGACACGCTGTCAAGGTCAGCTCGTTGCTCATCTCATGAGCCTCTTGTGAGACGCGTCTGATTCCACAAGTGCCAATTTGTGTTTTCGGCAGGCGCTGCTCAGAGACAGTTAAATGGCGGAAGTCGTAAAATTGCAGGAGCGCAAAGCACGGCGCTGGGAAGTCAGCTGCTTGCATGAGCATTCGCACTGAGCAGGCACGTTTGCCAGAGGGCCAACATGCGGCCGTATGAGAATGGCTGGAATGGAATTGAAATAAGAATCTGCACGCCAACCTTGGCAGCTCTGTGGTTGGAGCTTTGACCGTGTGTTGACGTCTTTTCCAAGTAGCCAGCAAACAGCTTAACTTGTTGCTTGTTGCAGGGTGACAGTTGTGTTGCGGTATGCGTTCTGCGTTTGTTGACCACGGCTTGCCTGAGCTAACGTGGAACTCGGGATCGGGTCTTCCCAAATTAAATGAGATTCTTTGACTGTCAGGGGTTCAGACAGGTCCTTGCATTGAGATATGAAGGCGCGACATTTGGCGTGGTATTAAAGTCCACGAAAGTTCTGCGACGGAGCTCGCAACAGATATTGCCGCAGGCTTGGCACACGTGGCGCTTAGCTCCCACATGACGATTTGAGTCACAACATGCAGACCTGCAACGTTTGGCGCAAGATTCCCGCTGAAGTTATGCTGAACAGACGCAACGTTCGGCCTGGATGGCTTGGATGTACTTCGTGTGTTGCACTTGTACTGAACAATTGCGGCTTTCGAGCTGGAGCCGCCCAAGTGTACTTCTTGTACCGCACTTGTACTTAAACAGTTCCGACTGCCAAGCTGGAGATGCCAAAGTGTACTTTGTGTACTGCACTTGTACTGGAAACTGGCGACTGCCGAGGTGGAGCTGCCAAGGTGTACCTCCGGTACTAGTATCACTTGCACTGACAAGTTGCCACTTGCGAGCTTGGGCTGCCAAAGCGTACTTGAAACCATGCCGCAAAAGTAGCCCCTTGAAATTTATGCGATGCAACGCGCGACTCTGCGCGAAGAATGTCAGTTCTAGGAAGTCGGAGATTCAACTGGCCGCCGAGTCTTGCAGCTTGCTCAACATACTTTCTACCCTGAGTCGAACCATCCAGATTGGCTGAAGTGCAAGCTGCGCCTTGTTTCTTTGGCATGCTCGCATCGCAGGCCTTTGCCTCACCTTCGTTGGCCTTGGGGTCGGCGGCCGCGGCGCCAGCTCGGTTGCCCGGCGGGTGGAAGGCGCGCTTGTTGAGGCGGCGGAGCAGGAAGACGAAGAGGCCTGAGCATGAGCTTCTTAAGGCGCAAGAAGTGTGTCTTGTTTTTTTGGGGAGAGGGGGGGGGTATGGGCTTTTTCTGCGTTTTGTTTTGGAGTGTCTGGGCCAGAAGATCAGTCACCCAACCAGCCGAGAAGTTAATCAGCCAGTCAATCAATCAATCAATCAATCAACTAATCAATCAACTAATCAACTAATCAATCCAATCGGTCAGTTGTGCAATCAGCCACTCAACCAGTCAACCATTCAGTCAGTCAGTCAGTCAGTCAGTCAGTCAGTCAGTCAGTGAGTCAGGCAGTCAGTCAGTCAGCCAGGCAGGCAGCAGTCAGTTAAGCAGTCAGTCAGCAAACGAGGCAACAAATCAATGTGCGGTTCCGCTTCCGCTCTCTGTCTATATACTATAGACGATAGATGTTCTTTCCATGTGCTTGCATGCATTTACATAAGCAAAAAAAAAAGAACAAACACATGTAACAGTATTCATATTTGTATACACGCATATTTATGGAAGAAGGATCGTTCGAAATACCCTCGCGCGATGGTCGCAAAAGGCCGCGGAAGGGCGATCGAAGGTTTTCCCTCGTTGTCACGCACCTATGCTGAGACACATGCCATGAAGTGTGGGCTTTCCCACAAGGCGGAATTCTTGGAAGCATGTAGCGGAACGCCGTTTTTGGACCCGGACACACACCCCTTTATTTCGTGATTCTATTCTTTCTTTCATCTTGTCTTTCCTTTTGTTTCCTTTCTTCCTTCCTTCCTTCCTTCCTTCCTTCCTTCCTTCCTTCCTTCCTTGGCCCCTTCTTTCTTCGCCAGTTGCGTGCAGCCTTTTTGGGAGGTCCAGGTGTGGGCGCAAGCCTATGCTCTGGAGCTGGAGCGCGCTGAACTCCTGGACGCGCAGCTGAAGACTGGCCTGGACCGGCAAGGGCCCCCAGTTGGGGGACAGGGGCGAGGCGAACCATTCCAACTTCAAGGCGGTTGCTGGCTTGTCAAGCAAGGTCAACGGTTAACGTGTTCAAGGGATGCTAAAGTTGAACAATTTCAAGGAGTGTTACAGTTGAACATGTTCAGAAATGTCAAAGGTAATGTTTGTTGGGTAACTTTGAAAGTGGCTTCTTGCCATTTAGAGGGTAAGCTTGGGGATAGTCACTCCAGTGGACCTGGATTTGCTGCGGTGCTGCAAAGTGACCTTGAAGTGTCAAGACACGGGATGGAGGCTAAGGGGGCTGTGTATCAAAGGATGGCGCGTTGAAAGATGCCCCCGCCACTGACGCCTGAATGTGACGAATTCGAATCAGAGGCACAGGCGCGGTTTGAAAGGTTCAGGTGCATCAGGTGCACCCATCTGCGGAAGTCGCTTTGTTGGTTTGTTCCCGCAGCTTGCTGAGCGTGAAGTTTTCCTGATTCAAGGCGCTCAGCCAGAAGCAGCCTCTGCAACAGACTGCCAAAGAGCAGTTGACTTCACACAACCCCCCCCCCACCATGTTCAAGATGCAATTTGACTCGCAGCTTGCTATTTCAGGCTGACGAGGGGTAGGTCGTCAAACCATCCCCCGAAATTTCATGGGACTGCGCCCGTGCCATGGGCTTTGACGAGAAGCCGGGCGGCGAGGGCCGCAAGGGCGGCGAGGGCGGCGAGGGCGGCGAGGGCGAGGGGTGGTTCAGATGGATGTTCTGCCCGAAGCGCTGGCCCAAGTCGGTGGCTCCAGCTCCTCGGCTTGTGGCTCAGCTCGTCGCGAACATTCTCGGGGTGTGTTCAACCTTTGTACAAACCGATGCCTTTGGAAGCTGATTGGCCTGATTGAGTGGCATCACTTCGAAATAGTATACATACAAACGCGCATAGCTCTAGGGGTGTGGTTCCGTGGACGGAAACGCTCTTGAGCCGTGTTGCCTTGGCAACGTCATGATCGATTCATGGCTGGTCATTGGCTGCTTGGTGGGCTATTCCTACGCAGAGGCCAGAAAAGCGGCTTCCGCAACTCAGAGCAGAAAGGCCTTCGCGGAAGAAAGACCTGCCTCGCTTGCAAGGTGTTGAGCCTGTTGCCTTGGCTTGCTGCCGGAAAGTGGCGACGTGAGTTTCTTTTGCGTCCCCTAGCGAAGCAGTGCTTATGGGTCAAGCCTGTAGATTGCTGGCTTGGCGTCACGCAGTCTAGCCACTTTGCACCAAGCTCAAAATGCTCTAGACAAAATGCAACACTGCTGGTCCAGCACTGGGCACTGATTTGGTCGTGACCTGTGGCCATTTGAAAACACATGCAAGCCACCGGGAGTTATTCAACTGTTGAGCAGCTGCCTTGCAGCTTTGCGAATTACCCTGCTGTGTTGTTTCACTGCTGTTGTTTGGGCCTTACATCAAGAGTTACTTCGCCATTTGTCAGGCGAAGACGCTGTGCCATGTTTGATAGCACGGAGTACTTGCAGAACAGTTTTCCAATGTGCGCTTGCTCAATGTTGGCTTGTGACTCAGAGTGCCGGGTGGGGGGGCTGATGCAACCACTGAGGACTATAGCGACTTTCAGAAGTGGGACACGCTCCAGCAGATCCTTTCACTCGTGAACAGCAAATTTGGCGACCTCTCTTGGTGGACTGACTAACTTATGGCGAGCTTGCCTGAGTGAAATTTGCTTACCCGTGAAGAAGTATGTTCATGAGGGGGAAATCTTGATTCAGGTTTGGCAATTTTTGTATCATCATGAGTTTGCTGAGTCATGCCGTAGGTTTTTTTTTGTTTCGGTTGAAGGGCTTCCACCGGTTTCCGTTTTGCGATGTTCTGGTGTCCGGCATGCGCGCCATGGGGCCATCGCGGTGTTTGTTTTGCGCTTGCAGTACCATGCTTGCAATGACACCAGCGGATGCGGAGGTTCTAGCTTGTTGCCAAGGGCCTGTGTTTTCATTCCGGTGCCTCAAGAGTACAGTTTCTCAAGGGAACAGTGTGACAAGGAATGTCTCGCCACGCCCTGAGGTACAAACATATTGTTTTCAGAAAAGCAATGTTGGGTTCAGCCCTTTCGATTTGCTGACGCTTGGAACCGTTTGCGCGCCCCAAAGGTTGCCCCCACAAGTTTTACACTTCCAGAGTAAAGAGCAGCTGGGCTTGCGTCCAGCACTTGTGCCTTGGAACCCCTTGCCTCGCCTTGCCACGGGAAATCCATCAAGTCCAAGCGGAGCCGCTGGCCCGAGGTTCGCCTTCCACGGTGTGGGACAGGCCTCCGCGTCGGTGCCGCGGGCCGTGCTGTTCACGGTGAGCCGGGACCTCTTCAGCCACAAGGCCGGAGTGTGTCCAACAGCCAAAACCCGGGCCCAAGCTGTGGGCGTCTATGCGAGTCGATGTTGATTTAGGTTTTAGAGGTTTTAGGCCCAAAACTTTTGTGCCAGGCTTTGATTGTCACATATTGTGACTCAGGTGACGCCCTCATCTTAGTCTTCCCCAGTCACAAGATGCATCATGTCCGGTTCCGAAGCTCACGGCTTCACACCTAGCTATGTGTTTTTCCTCTTGGCCAATGAACCCTTTTCTGCAAAAGGAATGCTACAGTTTGCGTGTTTTTTTTGGCTATTGGAGAGGTTAAGGGTGTCTTCCCTGAGCATCGGAACCGAGCTGTGCAATCGCTGCTTTGCTTAGAGAAGTTACAAAAGGGTTGTTTTCTAATTTGTTTGGAATGCAAGCTTTGAAGGGAGCATTTAGTAAGGTCATAGTAATCCACGAGTTTTTTTCAGAATTGGTTTAGTATGGGCTAAGTCCAGTATAGTATTGGGAGAATTGGGTCAAGGAGATCATGTTTTATTACTTGGTTCATGTATGATAGGGGGAAGAGATTACCTGATGGATTCGTTGTGGCAATGCAAACAAAGTGAAAGCTTCCACTGATGGGTACTGAGGATGAGTAAAGCTGGACGTGCCCTTGGCGGATGTGCCTTATGGCCCTTTCAGCCATGCGGGCCATGCGTAATTGTTGTCAAACGCCTCATTCGCAATCATGGCCTTTCCGTTTTTTGTTTCTCCAATAATTGCAGGGCTTGTGCTCCCCACGGCCGATATGTACTCAGAGCCAGCGCCCTGACCAAAAATCCGAGAGGTATCCCTGCTGGGCTCCACTCCCATGGCCATCCGCTTGTTTGGAGCGCCTCGGCTTAGGATAGTAGTAGTTGACCCTCGTGGTTGAGTGTTTGTGTTTGCAATAGGTGCTTGCTTTGCTTGCTTTTGTGTGAGTTTGTGTGCTTGCTTGCTTTGCTTGGCTTTGCTTGGCTTTGCTTGCTTTGCTTGCTTTGCTTTGCTTGCTTTTTTTCTTGCTTGCTTGTGTGGTTCTTAGTTGGTTCGGTTGGTCAGTTGCTTGGTTAGTTGGTTGGTCTTCGCCGTGTGTGTGTGTGTGTGTGTGTGCTTGTTTGCGCGTGCATGTGCGTTTGCGAGTATGCACTCGCCAATTTGTTTGCTCGTTTGAGTGGTTGTGTTGCATGGCTTCGACATGCTTCGGTTGGAATTGCTTGTATCGTCTTGCGGTGCTCAGTTTTTCCTCGCCTTGATTCGACTTGCATGTGTTGTATTTTTTGGGGTGCTGTGCCAGATTCTTTGCATTCCTCATCTTTGGGAAGCCGAGGGTTCCATGAGCAAGAATCGGCCTTTCTTGAAGCCACTCACTGGTGCCAGACTGTGCCTGTTTCGACACTGAGCTTTTACAGGGCCTTGACTTCTTGCGCGCACGCCTTTGTGCTTTCCAGGGTAGAAGTAAATGTTTGTCGCCATGGCAACTTCTTGCTTTGCCACCAAGTGGGGTGGTGGTGTGTTGGCTGGCCGCTTGAAACCACCGGGGGACAAAAACCAAACGACCAGGCTGGCCAGAAGCAAAGTGCATCCTGAGCTTTTCGAACTTCGACTCTATGGGAGGCCTATGTGAAGATCTTCCGCTCCCTCTCTGGCACCCTCATAGCCTTGACCTCCATCGGGCAAATCTGGGCCATGCAGGCGCTGCATCGGCCCTTGACTTTGGATCTGCCAATTGACAAAGCTTGCGCGTTGCTTTTGGCATCTCTGTGGCTGCATAGCGAGCGCTCCAACAAATGCGTGCCCGGAAGTGTTGTGTAAACAGTTTGAGCTCCATTCGTGCAGGCTGTGCAGTGAAGCAAGGCTCTTAAAACTGCATGATGTCAGGAGATCGCTTTTTTCCAACCAGATTCGGTTTTTAAAGCTTATGAGCTTCTGGCTTTTCATTGCACGGGAGACTTGACAGCATGGCACAACTTTCCGGACTCGCAACTCCGAAGGCCAATAGCTTGGCCATCGTTTGGGGAGTTGGTATGCTGCAAGCGCTGGGGAGCAATATGCACACAGCGACCCGCGCTTGCATTCTCCAGCACTTCGCAATAGCCCTCCGGCAGCGATGGGGAATCGATGGACCATTGGACTGTGTGCATGTGTGTGCTCAGCAATTGTTGTACGTTTGCCTTGCCCTGGAAAGGACGGCGTAAGCATGAGGGGTGGAGGTATGGAGCGGTCGGCAAGCGTGGCTCCGGACCTCAGGCCCAGCAATCTTCCCAGAAATCCATGTGGTCGCGCGGCCTAAGGAGCAAAACAACGGCGACATTGTCTTGAAGGCCGTGGCCATGATTGCACACCGGTGGGAAGCAGCATGCAAGAAGCAACTGAAAGAGAACCACACCTGACTGGACATGTGATACTGAGACAGTTGTGCGTGTGTGTACACCAATGTGATGCATTGCTCAGGTTGAACAATGCTTGAGCCTGCTGTTTGCTAGTGCGTTTGTGCTATTGCCATTTTGCAAGCGTATACATAGTTATTTTGTATGTGTTTACGGGTGTTTGTGCGTGTGCGTGTGCGTGTGTGAACATGTGCGTGTGTGTGAACATGTGCGCGGGCGTGTGCGCATGTTCCATTGTTGCGCACTTTTGCAGGTGTTGGCTTAAGATGCCGACAATTGTAGACAAGCATCTCGCAGCGCGCCAAGAGCCCTGCAGGAGAACAACCAAGACAGAGCAGGCAGCCTCGGTGGTGTTTTGGGAGGCCAGGCGTGAAGCCAGAAGCCCTTCCGGTTCCATGCTCAGACAATTCCAAGGCAGAAGGGCCCGGACATTCAGAGCGCTGACGTTCAGTGCCTTTTCTTTTCTGTATATTGCGGAAGCTGAATGATATACACTGGGGCTGATCCGCAGGGCTGCATGCTTTGCACCTGTGCTTCATCCACTCCAATCTGCGAGCAGGACTTGTGATTGTCTACTTCATCAGCACTGGCTGGTCTGCGCACTCCGATACTATTGTGGCGGCGAGCATTGTGAGCGTTGTCTTGTGCCTTTTTGCAAAGCGTCGGGATGGGGAAACCACAGCAATAACTTCAGTTTGCCGCCATTGTTGCATTTCGGTGCTGACGGAAATTTGCCTTCGTGTTTGTACTCGTGTCACCTTGTTTGTTGCAAGCTTGCCGATGCATTGCCGCCCACAGCAAGCGCATTGTGCCTGAACGATGTCGTAGCAAAGAGAGAAGCATGATAAGCTTCCACCTGGCGAACGTACCGTATTACATTACTGGCTTGCTTGCAATCGGTTTCCAGTATGTCAGGCTTTGTTTGAACAGGCGGGCGGAGGGTTTAGATTGCAGCCGGGCGACAAGCTTGGCTGATGAACATTTAGAGAAGTTGGTTGTAGCGTGCCATTCAATTGGTCAAGTGTGTCCCTGCAGCAGCAGATGCTGAGCTAGTGTCGTCAACCTGAGGAGCGTGCTGCAGACAATTTTCAACCTGGCCTCAGCTTTTGTGCTGAGAGTGCCCCCTGCCACATTCGCGCTGCAGCACTGCAAGACAAGGCAGGCGGTCTTGGCTTCAGGCTTCCTGCTACGCATGCATGAACAGTGCACGTTTAAGTATTACCATGGATCCGGCCACGACCAGCATTTTGCCGTTTGGAATTCCTTTCGCGCCTTGCAAAAAGAGATTGTGCACACTCACATTTCCAATTTGCCTTCTGCAACGACAGTGTATTGTAAGATCCAACAGTTGGCTGCTGTCGTGAATGTTCGGTGTTGTGCATTGCATTGACCCTCTAGAGGTCTAAGTCTACAGTGTTTTCCTTGGTGGAGTCTCAAATTTGCGGCTGGTCACACGATGACTTGTGAGTCGCTTGCTCCGTAATTTGCGCAGGAAGTTTGTGGTGCTCAACCATGGGTCGATAGCGGCAGCAGAAGGTGAGGACCTCGCAGTCTTCAAGCTGACAACTGGCGAGATGCTCGGCGCCGGACCCCAAAAAAAAACAACAGAAACAGCAATTTTGATTATTTATTTTATTATATTGATTATTTTTATTTTATTTTTTTTAATTTCGAATGAGGGTCTTTTTTATTGTCGCAGTGCATGATGGAAAGTCTGCTGTTTCGCCCACGAAACAGCTTCATGAGGATCCGCGGGAAGGCGCTGGTGTCTGTGCAGGGCCAGTTCATAGACCGGGACGGCCGGATCACTACAGTGCCCACTGCCGTCTGGGTGGACGAGAGCGGGAAAAGCCTGAGACTTAGAGGGGAGCCTCAGACGCAGTCCAGGTGAAATCGCAGGAAGTTGCAAAACTTCGGGCTTCGGGCAGTCTGGTTTGCTTAGTCAGCCTGTCTACAGACCGGGCAGCTGTTGGAATGGCTTCTAAGCTCGGCTCTCATTGCTTTGCATGTTCAATGTCACGTCCGACTGAGGAAGACTATTTTCTGACACCCTGGGCGGGTGGTGGGAAATCGATTCCAGATGGCTACTTCTTCCCACCAGGCAGGACACGGACATGAACTTTCAATCAGAGAAGCTGCGCTTGGGTAAGGCTCGGAAGGGAACAGATGTTCAATAAAATTAAGGGATACCTCCTGGATGGAATTGAGCACCGTGTTCAAAACTGGTGAGTTGACAGCTCCTTGGATGTCTTGCAGGGTGGGTGGCTGGGTGATTCAAAACAGTCCATGACGTTTGAGCCTGTGGAGCAAGTGAACAACTCTTCCTGTGAGCTGCGGCAATGGAAACTCAAGTTGGGCATGGCTGCATGGACTGAAGTGTCATGTTCGGCTGCATGGGGCCTTTTCCCTCGGTTTGAAGTCGAGCTTCATTCGGGCCTGGAACAAGAGAGCACCTTGCAGCGTAGGCGCAACTCACCCTGTGATCCCACCAGTTCACAAAGATCGTTACATTAGACATGGCGTCATTCTCAGTTTGGGCGACTTGTTTCGATTGCACACTTTGGCGCTTTGGCCGTCGGGACCCCGCAGGATGGCCCTCAGCTCTCCCTGTCAGGCTTTCCCGTCTCCATGCCTGCTGGCTACGATGAAGATACCGCCTATGACCTTTTGACCGGAACCCGGCACGGCACATAGTCATGTCCGCCAAGCGCAATGCCATGCAATGCCTTTTTGTGGACCCAGCTTGTCCTGCTGCCGCTTTGAAATAGGCGTAGGCGGGGATCGATTTCAACCTTTGACATTGGTGTGTGCCACCCGATTCAGCGCAGAGACACTTGAAATTCAAGAACTCGACCTAGAGCAGCTGAGCACTGACTGCGTCAGAAAGTTTGGCCCTTCCGCACCTGCCTAGTTGCAGACCGCACTACAGCAAACATCTGCAGTTGTGGTCTGGCGTGTTTGGTGATTTGCATTTGCAGGCAGCTTGAAAACTAGTATACATGATGTTGACGTGAATGCAATCTTCAACATGAGTAACATGGTTTGGTAGTTGTGGACATGTGTCCCTGAACAGCATTTGTCGGAATGCGTGCCTGAGAGCATCAGAGCCCCAAAATGCTTGGAAGGTATAAACAGCCCAGCTGTGAGGTCACATCACAGGGTTGTTTGGTGCACCTCTCCAGGGTCAAGCTCGGGGCAACGGCCCGCCTAAGGAATGATCCAGGCGCCGGAGGTGTTGCTGCTATGGCTGCTTCGCTGGAAGCACCTCCGCTTCAGTTCCCATTGGACGTTCGTCCCGTTTGTGGCTGGAGCCAACTCAACACGGCATGAAGCTGTTCCCATATATGAATGTTAGCCGGGGAGCCTTTGGTTGCCCATCATTTTTGGATGCCACCGACCACCTGGCTGGGTGTTCCCCCATAAATTCACCACTGGGCAAATTCTCCGAGCGGAGACTTGAGGTATGTTCTTGGCGTGGGTGACGATTCGAAGAGCCCCGCGTATGCCTGCATGGTGACCATGTACCTTTCGGTGGCGGACATGCTCTGCGGATTGATCTGCTCCTCAAAGATAAAGCATGGCATGACACAAGAGGAGTTTCGACCCCCCTTTTGTGCGCCATCGTGGGCATTCCTTGTGGTTCAACCCAAACACCACTCTGAAAAGGGTGCCCTCAAACAATGCAACGCCCAAATGAGTGGAACTGAGGGATAGGATTGGAGGACCCTTGCGAGGCCTGGGGTCCATTGATTTGGGAATTTGGCGCTTGACTATCCATGATTCAGCCCAGGTTCCCAGATCACGTTGCAGGCATGCTTAGGTTTGGGGTCTCATGCTATTTGATTATTTATTCTTCCTGGCTCATTGCTAGCTTGGAATTGCTTTTTGACTTGTGTTTTGTTTTTTGTTTAAATATATTTGTCCGGTATTGCTGAGTGTTGGTTTAGTTCTGATTTGGACCCTTGGAGAGGGGAGTGGCAAATGGCGCGCGCATCCTGCAATGTAACATTCACGCTCATCGCCTGTTTGTCAAATTACTAGCCTTTGCAGAAATGAGGCTTGAGGAGTCGGATAGTACATCAATGTAGGTCATGCGGGGTTCTTTTGCTACATACGTGCATTTACATGTTTTTATTGTAGTATATTGTGTTATTATTTGTTTGTTGTTAGTAAATCAGCCGGGTTTAGTGTTCGAGTGTTCTACATACTGACCTGGGCCCGCACAGCTCAGTATCAGTTGTCCTGTTTCTGTTTAGCGTCCGCATGTTCATTTGGCATCATGGGCCTGTTCGAGGGTGTGGCAGCAACAATTAGCTCAAGTTCAAGTTTTCAAATGTAAAGCCAAGTGCATCCAAGGTGGCGTGGATAAGCCATGAGAGGTGTTCGCACCTGCAGGGAGGCAAAGCATGCAACCCAACGTCTTGGAAGTTCGGAGCCTGGTTAAAAGAGGCCAGTTCTGCATAGGGTACAGTGATGTTTCTGACATTGTGCCAGGAAGGGAGAGAAGTTGTTGAAGTTAGGTCATTTGAGTTTTAGGTTTCCTGGCGCAAGTTCTGGCAGTGAGGACAACGTGTTGTGGTTCCACGTTCAGCTTCTGATGACAAATGGCGATCAACTCACACCCCGCTAATCCAGCGTGCCGGCGTGAAGAGCGGTGTCGGCCACAATAAGGCGGGCTGCCCATTTTTGCCGACTTCTACAATTGCAGGCAGCGGGCTTTTCCGATGCCAGAATGGTGCATTTGTTTGGTGATTTCTGCTCGTTAGCTCAAGCAAGCCTTAATCAAAGCGGACAGATAGCTAGCAAGTATGCATGTGCTGTTTGCATCAAGCTACCGCATGCTTGAGAAGTTGCTATGCTCAGCATCAGGATGACACAGATCACACAATGATCACTCAATCCTGAGAATACTGAAGGCATTGGAGAGTGTCTTCCTGCGCACCAAAGCAACCGAGCCTCCCCTAAATGGGCCCCAATTTTGTTTTTAAAAAGAACAAGGCCAACTGCATTGCAAAGTTACGCAATAGAGGGAAGCTGCTTTTAAAGAGTGAACTTGTATTCGCAATTCTACACAATTAGCATCATTTGGAAACGGCGTTTCCTTGATAACCAGATCCAATGCAACAACTTACGCGGTTGTGCAGCGGACTAGACTCGTATATTTTTCTCAATTGCACATCGTGAAATGCTTGTATGCAATATGTGGTTGCCTGGTCAGTCTTTGAAGTGTAAATGCTTCGCGTTGCCCGCCCCGGCCCCGCCCAGCACGCAGTGTCTGTGGCTCGAAAGCAAGCATAAGAGCTGGCCGAGTCGCGGCTCGCAGGTGTGAGGCACATTCCTCTGACAATTCATGAGAATTCGCTCCCTTGAAACGCTATGATGTCTGGGCCATGTTTGGTGTTGCGGGCAATGAAGCATTGTTCTAAACGGTGGGTGGGCATGGTTCAGGGAGCTTGCGTCGAGGACAGCTTATATCAGTTCATCTGGCTTGCCTGAGTGCCGTCACTGCGAACATGTGCAAGATTGTGCATCTGTTTGCTATTCAGATGGTCTCCTTCGGTTCAGGTTGATCCGTCGCCGGGATATTGGCATCTGTCATGATATCATCTGCGATCTCTCCTGTTATGTCTGACCAAAAACCACGGAGGAGAGCGCATGAACCATGACATCTCATGAGCCCATGTAGTTCTGCAACTGTTATTGACATGGTGGTTGCCGAGATCTTGGCATGACCTATCTTCATTGTTCCTGCGACAGGCGTGCGGATTCTTGTCTTTCCCTTGACAGACCAGAAGTGCATACTGAGTGGAACGCTGTGATTGTTCTTCTTGTTGACTGCTCGAACATCAGCAAATGTATCTGGAAAACTTGTACCAAATATGAAATTGAGTTCTGGACTGCAGCCTGTTAGTTGTCCCAGCACTCTGCGATGTGCGGTAGGCATCTGTGGTGAAATTGCAACACCATCCTTCATACTCTTACCGAAGGTGACCCCCTGTAATGCATCAACCGCGAAGTTCTGGTGAACATCTATATGCATCTTTCTCCCTTGAACACGTTGCCCGGGCCAACTTGGGAATCCTGCCGAAGCTTGGCCGATCCCATTCTCGAAAGCGTCATCTCCATTCATAAGCAGAACATCAACATGTCGCGAAAGAGCCCCAAAATCTTGTCTACCCTTTGCGTTCTTCCCAGAGGCAGGGTCCACGAGGTAGGCCATTGCTCCTTCGAGGTCAAACACACTTTTGATGTTTTCTCCCCATTGGTTGTGGAGTTCTTTGGAAGTGTTTTTTCCGCAGCATGCACATGCGCAACGTTCTGCGTGTTGGTACCAACCTGCAAGAACGCAACAGCGTAACGATGGTCTCGGCGCATCGTTCAAGCCGTAAGCAGGCTTCGTCACGCAAGCCCATTTCACAAAGAGTTTGACACGTGACATCTCTCGTTTGACCATTGGCCTCCTTGCAGGAAAGTGGTCTTGAGATCCATGTGAAAGAGATTCCATCCTTTGCTGTTGTTTGTGCTGCGTGAAGCTGTAGGCTTATCTGTTTGTTGGTCATGCTTCTATCTTGCCTTTGTCTGGAGGAAACTGGTTAGCGTCCCATCTACCGGCGATCAGGCTTGTTCTTAAATGATCCCCATGACACCAAACCCAGGTGTGCCAACCTTCATTCCTAATGCGCAACACTGACTAAATCGGGCACTGCGTGCCAAGATCTCGAGAATGTGGGTTTCGACTTTTTCACGCAGTTCCCATGTGCAGACCCATGTTCTGCCGAAAGGCCTTCAACGAATAGAGTCTCTGTCGGCGTTGCTGAAGGCAAGTGTCGGTACGGACTGCGGTGGTGTTTTCCGTTCGTAGAAAGTTTGCTTGGTTCCTTCCTTGTCTGACCTGATGAAGGTCCACGTTGCTCACGTTGAAGTTTACCTTTTAACATGGTACTTGTCAAGATCTTTTCCTGCCATTGCGGAGATCGACTTGCCCGTCAGCCGTAAAAAGCCCTGGCTTCCATTCCTGGACTTACTTCCTGCCGGTTTAGAATACCTTTTCACCAGGCTGGAGAGGTTTTGAACTCATAGGAAGATTCTCCGGAAGATCTCTCCTGATATTCTCAGATTGTCGAGCTTCTCGGAAGTTGTTTGGCAGGCTGTTTTGCCTGCATCGCTGAAAGCTCTTCCTCTGTTCGGCCAATCGTGAGTTGCGATGGTGTTGCGACATCAAGCTTCCGGTCTTCTGCCAAATGCGAGTTCACGTGGCGTAACTCCTCCATAGGTGACGCTTTGATTCTGACAAGTCGCTGCGGCCTTGACTAGTTGTTGGTAGGTGATCTTCTTACCGGATTCGGCCGAGTTCAGCATCATGAACAGCGCCATAGCAGTCTCACCGCGCTCTCTGCTCGATTTGGCCATGTTGAGGACCGGTGGAAGCGTCCCACGTCTCTGTCATGCCCAAGCCGTTCTGATCAAAGTAGCTCCTGACAACTGTGATGTTTGTTCTCCAGTTCCTGTGTTGTCTTCGCTTTCTGCGCCGTGATCAATGCGATTGCACCGCCCAGAGTTACTGTTAAAACCCTCTAGGCCCCGTGCCGAAATTGGGTAGCTGTTCTGAGGTCCTTGTTGGTGTTGCTTCCCAAGTTCCATTGATCGCCATTTGGCTCAAGGCTCAAGACACAATCAAGGTTCAAGATCTGATGTGTGACTGCATACATACGTGATCGGCATTGAGAGCGAAAACACTTCGCTTGCGCTGCATTTGTCAGGACCACTGTTGTAACTATCATTCCTTCTCCCTTACAACGTTTACACGGGTTCGGCTATAACGGCATCGTCCGTATACACCTTTCTACGTGGTTGGTATTACAGCTTGAGGGTTCGGTGCATAGCGTCCCACGGGACGTCACCTTGCCGTCTCTTGACAGGTTATCAGCCGTAACTACAAGCTCTACACTGGACTGGGAGACAGCTGGTTTATTGCGGGTACAGGGACAATAAAGGAACGATAACCTACACAGTACAATGGCGTCTTCGGCGAGCCCAAGTACTGCAACTTTTGGGAACAGCAGCTCAGAGGGATCCAATGGATTGATGGCTCTTCCTGCGGTGATGGATATGGTTGCAGATTCACAGGATGAACCTGGGAGCGGAGGTTCCGCGCTATTCAGCGACATATCTACTCCCACAAGATCATGGAAGCAGATCGATGTTCATCAGGAGTCGAAGAAAAGAGAATCCCCACCGAGAAGATCATCATCTTCGCCTGCGACACCACGGACGTCGCAGAAGGGCGTGAGATCGACATCGAAGGGTGGGAGGTCAAAATCACCCACCAGTGCAGATTTTCGCGCCGTGATCAAAGAGAAGAATAAGATGGAGGTGGAGATCGGGGAATATCAGAAGACACTTGATGAGATGTCGGCAGCAATGGCGAATCTTAACCAAGAAGACTATGGAAGCACCATCCGGATCCAGGAGCTGGAAAGACGATGCGAGATTGCCAGCAAGCAGTCGGGACATCTAGTGAGTCACCACCAACACCACATGGCTGAGGCATGGCGCAAGTTTGAGGAAGAAGCCCAACAGATGCGCAAGGTGGAAATGAACGCATTTCAGTACGGGGAGAAGAAAGACATGGAGTCGAATATTATAATGCAACAGATGAGGCAAGCTGAAGGAACTATCATGGAGCAGAAGCGGGAGATTGCATTGATGAAATCCTACATGGCAAGCGAGAAGTCGGCCGCGCAGGAATCAGCTATACGTGCAAATCAGATACACCGTGAGGCTTCACAACAGATATCAGTTTATCAGCAACAGATCAGAGGCATAGAATCTTCTACATCTATCGAGAAGTTCAACGAGGAGGAGATGGTCCAAAGTCTGAAATCACAGTTGGAGCATGCACTCGTCAAGCGCCCCGAGACGTACTCTTTGGAGGACTCCAGGGAACAGCTGATGGCGAGGCTGAATGACGTTACAGTATTTGCGGAACAGGAATCGAAGAGAGCAGATTGCTTGCTTCGCGAAAAAGAAGAGATCGTCAAACAGTATGAGTCCGACGTGTCGATGAAGGACCAGATGATTGCTGTCGAAGGTGGTCATCGTCAGGATGCGATCTTGGAGTTAGCCCAGGTCAAAGAAGAGAAACAAGAGGAACGGTGCACGATGGACGAGAAGTCGAAGGAGGCTGAGTACTGGAGATTGACAGCTAAGGGAATGTACGATGAGTACCTCGAGGAGATGCATGAGCTTCAGAGACAACTGAAGGAAAGAGAGGCGACGCTCAAGCAAGAAGAGAGTTTTGTACGCCAACTCGATGCTGACAACGAGGAACTACGTGCACACAAGAAGCTGGAGACACAGGAAGCCTCCAGCAGCAAAGATGGACATCGTGAACGAGCAGTAGTGAAACGCGCTGAGGGAGGAACCCAGGCTAATTCAAATAGGATAGACAAGAAGGTGGCTGGGTCAGTCCCGTCATCGTCTTCAAATCAAATCCCTAATTCGTCGCTGATGCCAGGTTCGATCCTCTTTCCGTCTTTCGGTGATCCAATGATCGATGTACACCTATCCCAGATGCAAGGGGTTGTTGGGCATGTCCCACAATCCACTACTACGACTGGTGGTGGTGATGGGGGGGGAAACAACGGTACTACGCCCCCATTGGATTACGGTGGATTCCCGCCCAATGGGAATGGGCAGGGAGCGGGT